CAAATCCATGCTGATTAAATGCTAGTTGTTCAACAAAAATAACTTTTTAAACGAACTTATTAAACAACACGTGCAGGTATCCTATCTCAATTAGTACAAAAACATTCATGACTTTGAATGAATTCATTGTTAAAGGAAAAAATTGGAGCGATCACCGAGCAGAGATCATACACGGTGATCACCCTGTACATAATATCCTGTACATATCTAATATAATACGCGCAGTCAGTTTTCGACGATTATCACAGATTGAAATCTAGTCAATTTATATTCAGCCGACTGCCATTTTATACTCAGATGACTATCGCTGATCGAAATCGCCGCCGAATGTGTATTCCTGCTGGACGGTTTTTATTGTTGAATTTGAGATCCCCGTCAGTGATACTGTCCAATCACCGGGTCGGCATTATATTATTCACGCACACGAACGCACACGAACTTGGATATACACGAGCTTACACACACACTAACACGCGTTCGGGTTTACAAGTTTTTTCACCTTGTATTACTATATTTGGGTAAATGACCCGGCGACGAAAGATAGCGTACAATAATAATATATAATAATAATATTATTATAACTACGCTACAGCAGTAACAACGACGACGACGACAACGAGGATGAAGACAAACGTCGAATTTACTGCAACCCGCACGCGCGTACATGAAAATATTATATATAAATAAAAATAACGAGGGCCGTGCACTTATATATATATATATATATATATATATATATTACGTAATAATAATAATATTATAATATTATATATTATTATTATTATTATTATTTTACTCAAACTGTTCCCGTTTCGTGACGTTATATCGAATTGATATTGTATGCGATACGCGCTCGAGTACCCTCTGTATACGTATATAAATATGTTTATTTTTTATAATACTGAAATAATATTATTATGCACGCGTATCACATTATATGCGTACAAGCCGGACCGTCTAGCGATTATCGTCTACGACAATCGCGCGCGTGTATTACATGCGGGGCAGTAAACGCGCAGCCAGAGTGCGAGACATAATAAAACGATTTAAATCGAATCCGTCCGATCGCAATACGAATACATTATTTTTTTATTTTTTTCATTTTTTTCATTTTTTTTTTTTTTTTTTTATTTAATAATATCTTTGGGAAAAAATAATAATGATAATAATAATGCGAATACGTCTCTCGATCTTTTTAAACGAATATATAGGTTTTATTTTTATTTTCCATTTCGGTTTATCTCTTTTCAATCGATTTTGCAGCGACAGTGCGCGCGTAGACGGATAGTGAACATATACTGATAATAACATGATATTATATACCTGTGATGCATATAAATATAATATCTATACACTCGTAAATTGTTGGAATTATTTGAATACGGTAATTATTCGAGATTCCCGGCAGTGCAGACTGTATATAATGCGAATTTCTGACCGTTTCAACTGAGGTATGTTGTCGACGCGAGTTTAACGCCTTCGTTTAAGTCGTTTAATCGTTTTTTTAGGCGCCAATATATTTATATAATTATAACGCTGGGAATTTAAAATATTAATAAATAATTTGACATGCCAATGAGGTTTGTTAAAAATATTAAGTTATACAGGTACAATAAATACTCATAGACGGAGATCGGTGAGCTGAGGGATTACGGGAGCTTTCTGGCTTAGCCTCCAAAATAATTTATTGGGGGTTGAAGCTAAAAAAATAATACCTATTTTACATGCTTAAATTAAATTTACACCAAATAATCGTTAACATTGAATTACGATTTTAGATTCTGAATGGAGGAATGTAGGTACTACTTGATGATTGGTTTTAAAATTATATTTTTATTTTTTCGTCTTTTTTTAAAATTTAATTTAGGTATACGTTTTCGGCGAGACATACAGCCATACATAGATCCAAAAATCCATCTAAACCTATCTTTAGATCAAAAATTACATCGGTTAGTTCTTTAAAGACTAGATAAATACTTTTTCAAAATTCTCAATAGTTTTTTTGACATTTCTTAGAAATTGAATATTTTTTTTCACTTAAAGCTGTTGTCTTAAACAATTAATTTAAATTGTTAAAATTCGACTAAAAATGGTACGTTTGCCGAATTATGAAATTTGTTTTAATTATTTAGTTGTAAACTTAAAAATAATAGTCCTGAGAATAGAAAATTTAACACTTATTTTCAACTGATGCCTTTGCAGGTTTTATTTAAAATACATATATATACATAAAATATTAATCATAAAAAATGGTTTGAATATTGAAATTAATTGAATTTAAGACGTTTAGTTCAGCTCTAAAATCTTAAAAAAAAAAAATTCCAATTGAACTTTTGAGACTTTAGTAAACACGTACGATTTAAAATTATAACTTGTATTTAATTTCAATACGAATTATATCATAATTTAAGATAAATAATAGTTTACCATATGTATAAATAAATATTTTTCTTATTATTTCGTAAGGCATTTTTTTATTCGATTCAGTTTGGTTGGTTTTGTGAATATAAAAAAAAAAATTCTATGAAAAGTAATACGAATATTGCAACGGTAAGGCAATAGAGATATAGCGATTAGGTCATACGAATCTGTTTGCTACCAAATACTTCTACCCCGACAAATATTTAACAGGATAATACTAATACTTAATAAACTATAATTATATAATATGAATATATTATATTATTAATTATTATAGTTTATTATAATATCATACAATTACTATGAGATATAATGTATTTACATGAAGGTGAACATTTTTGAGTCTGTATTGTTAACATATTTTGAGCAACAATGAAATATAACTCAAATAAAAAAGATCTAATCAACATAAACTTTAAAAAAGGTTAAAGTTAGAAACCGTTTTATCATGCAATATATCTCGTCAGTCGTCACTAGCAACTAGCAAGTCGTTATAATATGTATAATAAAGGTATTAAATTTGAATTTATTGATAGGTAAATCATTGTAAAAAAAAAAATAATAATAATATAAAGCGAAAACAAATCCATTTTAGAGATCTGTCTAAATAAATAAATACATTAATTCATGATACGTTTTTGATATTAACATTAAAGTTATTTATTTTTTACTATTATTATTGCAGCAATTGTCGACTACATTTTTGCCGAAAACATTACATTTATTTTTTATCAATATTAAACATTATAATATTATATATTTAATATTTATAAAATGTATTATGGTAAATAATTTTGAGTCAATATCAACTTTTTACAAAATGGTGTGAGTACCTAATAGGTTTTTGACTCCTGATGTAAATTGGCAATACCTAGCTTAAAATTAATCTAAACGTTTTGAAAATGTCATTGTGTGTAATAAATAAAATAGATAACATATTATATAAAAATTTCAAGTTCTCATAAACAATATTTTTGAGTTACCTACAATAAAATAATTTTGTAATTTTTTTTTATTTTTTTATTTAATATTTTCCAAATTTAAGCTTAAAATTTACATGAAAAATTGTGCTTTTAAATTGTTTGGAGTTTTTCATTTCAAAATAAACTATTTGTCTTATGGAAAACTAAATATTTTGCATATTATTTTATCTGCATAATAATTTGCAAATATTCGTAACTAGGACAATTTATTTTTAAATAATTTAAATAAAAATGTGATGAGAAATCTCCTCTTAAATTTTAGTTTTTTGGCCGACAAATTTTTTTCATTGATATTTGTAAAAAAAATTAAAACATTTTGAAAATTTTAAATGTTAGTATAGAATGCTCAAAAAGAGTTAATTATTTTAAAAACTAAACCATGTTAATATATTTTTATTACAAGTATTTGGTGTAAATTTAAATTTTTTTAAATTTTTTCATTTTGAAAACTGCAGACGTTGCTTAAATATTTTTATTTTCTTAATTAATTTGAAAATTATTGGAAATTTTCTACTTAAAATCTACGAAAGTATCAATACATCCGATTTACTTCCAAGATCCTTAATCTTAAAAATTGAAACATAATATTGTTCACTTCAAAATGTTATGAGTTTATGATAATATACACAAAAAAATAAATGAATTATTATTATAAATAAATACATCCATCGCTCCGCTCCGCTCAAAATCTCAATTTCATATACAATTTATTTTGATGGATATTTCATTTGTTATTTAAGTTTAATCGAAATTCAGTGGTCGAGAAATAAGTAGATATATAAAAAAAAATATCATATTATAATATTCAAATTTTAAAATGATGACTTTTTTATTTTTACATATTAAGGTTATTATTACTCCTCTCGTATCTCATATTGTATTCATATACCAAATCAAATTATTTACATGCTATGATGATCAGAAAAACTTAAAGTACCTGAATATCTATTATATTATTAACTTCCAAATAAAGTTCAATTCTTAGCTACTTTGATTTATAATTTAAATGCTTAATCAATTATATTATACATAACATTGATAGGCATACCTAACTAATATAGTGGTCTATTAAAACTTTCAACAAAATAGTCTATGCAATAAGTGAAATTAAAATCAATAACGCTATTAATCTCATTATGTATGTACTAATTTGTTTACGTAACAAAAATCAATATAATATAATATACTTAAAGGTTTTCATTAAATCTTTGTTATTATGAACGTTTAACGTTAGTTATAATAATACTATTAAAAATAAGGACATGACGTCATGTCTAAGTATAGGTTCTGTAGACTTTTTAACACATAAGTTGTATAATACTACAATCTCTATGCTTTGCAAGCACAAAATGTCTAAACGTATTTAATAAATAAACATTTTATATTATATCTATATATTACGTAAATTATTATTATTATTGTATATGCATAAATTATTGATTCGTATGTTGAAAATTAACAATTTATCAAGATTAAATACTTAAATATTTATGTAATATGATTCCTCAATCGTTTGAAATTTATGAAACAGTATGAATGATGAGTAATATGTACGAGTATTCACTAAAAAACTAATATCATGCATGATATCCACAGGTGGAGACATATTGAACAATGACGGAAGCGGGTCTATAAGCATATACGGTGACACATTTCCCGATGAAAATCTGAAAGTGAACGCTACAAAGCCAGGATTTGTAGGAATGGCTAATTCTGGTCAGTATTTCAAAAATGTATAATAAGCTTAAAAACTATATGGTTCACGGAATCACGTCGAAAATGATCTAAATGTTATATTATGCGATCAATTTTGGACCAGTTCAACTAAATATATTTAGCTTAAATCATTTACCTTTAACACACGATTTCGCATAATATACCTTTTAATATATCCAATTCTGCAAATTTTTGTTATATAAAATATTTTTTTTATTCTACTTAAATGTAACACGATTTCACACACAAAAATTGCTGCAAACTTTGTTAGATCAGACTAAAAAAATATATAATAATGATTATTTGTTTTCAAATTTTATTCAAATAAAAATAAAACAATTTTTTTTAGGATAATAAAACAAAAGATTAATAATAAAATGTATAAAACAATATGATAGGTATAGTTGATTTCAATTTTTTTCTTAGTATTTTAACTAATAATGATAGTTTAATACGTATTATTATATATATAATAATTTATATTATATTATTATATTATTATATTATATTTATATTATATATATAATAAGAATAATGATTATTTGTTTTTAAATTCTATTGTACCTATTATAAAAAATAATAGTAATAATAAAAAATAAATAAATAAAATTAGTATACCATAATTTTTTCTCTTGATATTGAGTACCAATAAATGTGATAAAAATTAAATTATATCAATTTGATTTTATTTATTTATTGCATAAATTTATGGTGAATTATCATTATCTATTTTTCTTATGCATTTATCATTTTCTTATAACTATATTATCAAGGAATTTGATACCTAAAATAATTTTTAAAATAAAATTTCCTAGCAACGTCGCGAATTTATTTTTATGTAGAATTGTGTGAATGAAAGTGTACATAATATAGAATCGTAAATAACCAGTTTCATATTACCCAACAGTGAAAATCATAATCTATTATTTTTTGGCGAGAGGATAAGGGGGAAAACGTGTTGAGTTAGGTTTTATAAAATAATCAAATAATAATTTCATTGCTTGAAAAATACTCTAACGAAATTACGCCACGCGTAGGTACAATTAATGTAACATCGTCGCAACCCAATACTATCTCAGGCGATGTACAATATTATTATTTAGGATTGGCGTTTATAAATAATAAATAATGAATAGCGCTGTTCCTTGCACCCGTTATAATTTAATTTTAGCATATTCCGTGTCTGTCCATCGCCCCTTGTACCATCAACCGACAGATAAATTAAATTACCGTCTCAGCGTACAGTAATCAAATCACGTTCAATACAAATTATAGTCGAGTGATATCTTTTTTCTCAATCCGGTGCAGGTCCAGACACAAACGGATGTCAGTTTTTCATAACGACCAGGTCCACGCCGAGTTTGGATGGAGAGCACGTAATGTTCGGCATCGTGATCGAAGGACAGGAGGTCATACACGCCGTTGAACAGCAGCTGACAGACCATCTGGGCAGGCCCACTAAAGAGATACGAATAACGAAATGCGGCTTGCTGAAGCGGCGGCCGCCATTCGACGTCACGGACCATCCGCGCAAGTAAGACACAGATTGCGAACGTGATCGGTCCGAATCCGAATACGAAAGCATATTATAGCCTATATGACCCATTTGGTCCACTGTGTTCAATTTTGTTTTCTCGTGCTTTGTAACTATACAGTATACAGAAATATAGATAAATGCGACGGTTCAATCTGTAAATATATTTCATAAATAGGAAATGTAATATGAATGATAAAAAATGTGTGATGCGACTAGTCGGTAAACAAAATTTTACCCTGTAACCGCATTAATAATCAAATGATTATCAGTCATCACACATCTTATAGACTATAAAATTAAAGTTTAAAAATATGAACATTGGTTTAAAGTGTTGATTGATATTTGATAAGATTCTATCTATAATCTGTATTATTTCGATTTTTGACACCTACAAATGAGTAATTTTAATGAGTGACTTTAAGTTGTATAGCCTTTCGAGTATCAATCTAATACACTTCAATATTTATAGTTAACGTTAAATTTCCCAACAGGTTATCCAACGAGAATTAAATTTATTAGTTATATTATACTCGTCACACTATGTCGGTTTTAATAAATAAATGTTTATTGCAACAACTGTATTTTGCGTCAACGGCGAACTGTTCTGATGGCATATTGGAACTTAACTTTGGGCCTTAGTTGACAGAGTTTAGAGAAAAAAATATTGAATATTAGATATTGATCTTGAACAAATTATTTCAATTGTTACAAATAAAAATGATTTATCAGATACAAAACTATGTACATTTTTTATAATTCAATATTATATTCTGTTTTTGTTAAGTGCAAAGTATAAATTGTTTTGTTTAGTAATTACTTATTTGAGGGCATAAGTGGAATCAGACTAGTTTTTTTCGTAGTTAAATTGAATTTATTTTAACGTCAATAATATATAAAATAGAAATCTTTTATAATGACACATTTTAAATTGACATACCGAGCTTAATTGAAGTTCCTGATAGAATTCCTATGTTTTATATGCTAATTTTTATCGGTTGTAATTACGCTATAATAATTACCATACAGATTTATTGACATATATTATTAATAAATTTAGATAAATAGTTTATCTATAATGAGCACGAAATATTTGGGGCATATTATCGGCTGGTTAATGACAAGAATTATAAATATCGAGATCAGGCAAAATATGTTAATCAGTTCAAACATCAAATTTTGAAATTGAAATGTAAACTTTGAAATGCATAAAATAGAAAAGAAAATAAGTATAACATATTCAAAAAAAAAATATTACAAACGAAAACTATAACATTAATATGTAATGAATAATAATGGTATAGGTATTGGTAATGTACTAATGTGTAATAGAAATATACTAAATTTTAATAGTACAGTAAGCCTTCGCTAGTCTGACACCAGTAACATCCATCAGTCCAAAAACCTTAAAAATCCGACTCTTTTTTTATTTTTATTATTTTTCTAAAAGATAATGGGCTCACGGTCACTAAACAGATTCATATATGATATTACAGTAAACATAATTATTATAACTTATAAGTTACAACTATCAATTAAAATGTTATGATTTGAATAAATGTATATACTAGTATATACAATGTTAACTTACTATTTTGTAATAATTTATCTTTAAATTTGGTCTCTAAAACTATCAGTTATTGTGACACATTTTTTTCTGATACCGTAAATGCCATTATAACAATTATTCATACCGCATTTATTCGTATTATTTATTCTATGTTAGTCGGTATCATAGATTAAATATACTAGTATATTTAATCTATAATAGGTATGTAATAAAATTTTTTCATTCCTCACTAATTAGGTACACTACTGCAGTATTATTTAGTAGATGTAGATGTACTTAGAATTGTTTCCTATATATTTAGTATTAACTACGTTGATTGGTCTAAATCTATATATTTTTATTTTAGCATTTTATACCTATAATTTATTAATTTATATATATCTACATTCTTTTTAAATGTTAGTTGTTTTAGTTTTTATTTATTATAATTATTTTAAAATGAATATTATTTACAATCAGTATGAAAAATACAATAATTAATATATATAATACAGAATGCAAGTTGTTATGGACTATTTTTCCTGACCATTTGATCGTAATTATAAACGATTTCTATTAAAATGTTCTTCCTTTAGTTTAAATTTAATAAATTTATATTTATTGAAATTTATTAATACTATATATTATTCTTGATGTATAATCGTTATAAACTTGAATCATCTGCCAAAGATAAAGTTTTTTGACCAACACTACACGAATAAAATACTTTAGATTTTTTAAATAATTGATTTTATTTTATTTTATTTGTTACAGTTCGAATGTTTGGAAATGGATAAGAGCGTCTGCTCTACCAGTTTCAATGTCTACGGCTATATTATTACTATTCCAGTGGATGATAGCTCAAATCAATAAAGCGATTCTCTAATGAGTAACGAAGCTAGTACACAACATGACTACAAACACCAAGCGACATAGATATCTGGACGTGTGTACACCAACAATCAACATAATAAACAACAATAATTGGCTAAATATTATTCATTGTTCCACACAAAATAATGGGATAAAAATCGAACGTTTTTCATTTTTCGTTTAAAAGCTATATGCATAATATTACAATCTGAATGATTTTTTTTTACGCGTAGACAGCAATAACAAACAAATTATATCTCCACAAATAATATTCATATATATTATATGTAGGTACTTACTACTTATTACACATACGACATACCTGTTTATATTTGTATGCGCATAATATATTTTGAATTCCGTTTGTTTAAAATAATTCATATATTTCCTTATCACACTATTTTTCTGTAATTTACGTATTTTCTTAATAAATTTCTACATGATAAACATTTGTTTTCTTTCTTGTGCAAGGTAAAATAAATCCATAATAATGGATAAATGTATTATTTATAAACGAACATTTCTAGTAATGAAAATCTAACTATTTTTTGTTGCGATTTTATTCAACAATTTCAAACGAGTATGTCGAAAAAAACGCAGAACCTATTTATGTACATTGGGATTGGGAATACATAACAATATGAATACTGTATAATTATGTAACACTGAACCATGAACATGTTTATTGAACTTCTATAGTGATTTATGATAGCTAAAATAGCTTATGTCTGTATTTTTTATTAATATCTTCAATTATTAAACAGTATAGGGTTGAAAGATTTAGTAAATTGTAATGTACTAATATCTCAGTTGTAAATTAATATGTTGACTTGATTTTATATAAACCTATACTAGCTATTCCGACAGACATTCAAATTTCTATTAATTTGTTTGTGATTGATCTGTGAATTTGTGAAATACTATTGAAGATGTTTATCTTCAATAGTATTTCACAAATTCACACTAAGTACAAAAATGAGGAAAAAAATATTTTGATTGATCATTGTCTCTATTGACTATTTTTATAATGATTATTCAACTTTAGGAGGAGTTCATTCTAGAGACATTTTATCTCGATAATCATAAACTTATATACAGAGTGGTTTAAATAAAATTCTTGCACTCAAAGTGTTCAATTAAAAAAAGTATTTATAATTAAACATTAAACCATAATATAGTGTTATTATTAGAACTCTACATGTGTGCTAAATTTCAGAAAATCCACGTATATGGTTCCAAGTTCCTACAAAAATCACATGGCTAAAATCGCTTTTAGTTTTTCCTGGAGTTTCCAATTTTCTAGATAACTTTTTCAATTATTCTTTTTATAAAAACTTATTAGAGCTATAATAAATATTAAAAACAAAAATAATAAGCCAAATCTATCCGGCTGTTCTCAAATGATGCACTTACCTACGAATAGTATTTAATTTTTATACTTAGATTATAGTTATATATTTTAGTTAACAAAATTCCTGAAATTAACTGATTTTATGAATGTATACGAGTTCAAAAACAAATATTTTTGTATGACAAATCATACTCTTTCTAGGTGCTAGATAGGCAACTAAATCAACAATTATTTCAGGTATCTATTACCAATAAAATGTAACAACTAATTTTCATCAAATTTAATTTAAAACGTAATAGACATATATTAAAACAATTTATTTAATTTACTTATCTTTTTAGTATAAGTTCTTTTAGTTCTTAGACCTTAGTTAATTAATGTATGAAATGTAAAATTTAGTTGTTTTAAAATTAAATTGAAAGTCGTTATTATTTGTTTAAACATTAATTGAATATTATAATTATTAATTGTAATCAAGTCTGGGCATAAAAGAGTTAAAAAGTTAAAGTTAAGTTAATTTTAACTTTTTAACTTAACTTTTTTAAATTAATTTTTAACTTAATTGATTTTTATTGGTATTAACTTAATAAATAACGAGTTACTTTTAATCATACCCAAATTAAGGAAATTTAAAAAAAAAATTCCATTTTGATATCATTTACTTGTTTAAAAATGTATAAAATTTGTTTTAATAAATTAAAAAATTATATTTTATTTTATTTATCTTTTAGTACCTACTACTTAATTCTTTTCACCTGTATTTTAATTTTCCAAATTTAGTTATTTTATGTATAGTAAATCTATTTTTTAGGCTTAATAATGTTTATGAATTTTATAATTTCAAACTATTTTACTGGCTATTTTATACATTAAAAAAAAAAATAATAATAATAATAACTTAACTTAACTTAAGTTAATAAGTTAATTGAAAATTTCCATATAACTTATAACTTAATTGAGTTAAAAAAAAAATTAGATTAACTATTAACTTTTAACTTTTCAAAATGTATTCTATCAATTTAACTTAATTCAGTTAAAAATTATCATAAACTTGCCCAGGCTTGATTGTAATGGGGAGAAAAAACAATTTGTTATTCATGGTTATGTAATAATGTAATTTAAAATTAACAAATATTGAAAGAAACAACAAAACAAAACAAAATCATTTTTTTTCTTTTAGCGATACAAAAGGACAAAATAAAAAGGCCACAATTACTTGATGCACTGGCAATAACGCCCGTTTGTGAAAAGATAGAAATCAAGACAAAATGATATAACAAATAGTGAAATACCGGAAGTACTCTCTATGGAATGCGATGAGTAAGTCGACCGATACAATACTGGAATATTCTTATTTCACCACTAAACTCCTCACTACAGACCGTTCGTTAGAGTCCAGGACATAGGTCTATTACTTGATTCATAAAGTCTACCCGAGTGGATTTTATAACGACTCAGATTAAAGCTTAGACACAAGGTGGTAGGTCACTTGACTTTTTATATGCGATTTATTGGCGATTATTGTTTTTGACGGTTTCGTGTTCTGTGACAAACTTTGTATTACAGACAGTAGTTAAAAAATAATCGCAATGATACAATTATGCTCTCATCTATTTATATAATTTCTCAAGGTTTACACGCTTCTTTTTTTTCATGGTAGTTTTCATTGAATAAATATAAGAATGGATAAATTTTTAAACAAACCTAAGCATAATAATCCGGAATTTGATAGTTCAAATATTGTAAGAAAACTAAAGCACCATAAATATGATGAAAATTACATGGATTATGATTTTACGTATACGGTAGTGAGAAATGAAGAGCGTTCACAGTGCGTTATTTGTTTTAAAGTGATAGCTATTGAAAGCATGCTTCCAAATAAAATAAAACGCCATTTGTTAGCAGCAAATAGAACTTTGATAAATACACCATGTGCATACATTAAGTCAAAATTAAAAGCAATATGTGAACAAAAATCAACCTTTTCCAAGCATGCTAAAATCCCGACTAAGGCCTTACTTTCATCTTACAAAGAAGTTATTATCAAGTCGCTAAATATTAAAAACCACGCATTATTGCAGAACAGTTAATTTTACTAGCAACAATGGACATGATGTCAATTATGCTTGAGGAGGCTATACTTCCGAGCAATTGAAGAACCATTATTTTATAACACCACTATCGGATAATATTACTAGTCATAGAATACTCAATTTAACTGAAAAGTGTTGATGTTTTGTAAAAATATTTTTTCTACGCATATATGCGTAACTGCTAACTGTGTATTATGTTTACATAAATTATATCGTTATTTATAGTATATAAACTTAATAAAAACAAACTGATTAATTTTTATTTATGGTTTGGGAAATAACCAAGCTCCCATGACATTACAAATTTTAGTATAAATTGTGCAGTATCTACAAAAATAATAAATATTATAATCCCAGGTTCGCCGCTACCTTACGCTTTTGTACGCGACGCATAAATGCACGCTCTGAAGTGTCCTCATCACATCCACCGAAAATGTTAACCGACGCGTTTCCCTACTATTTGTTTTTCTATTCTTTGCGAGTAGTCGCGGCACTCACCGACTTTCACGTCGTTCATTGTCGATCTTATCTTAATAAAAAATTTTATTGACGCAATTGTGTTTTCACAAAAAATATGTACACTCTATTGTGCCTTAACTGCGTGGCGAACTTTCTGACTTCGAATCAAATCATTCGTGTTAGTGAGGGAAATTACTCTAACATAACTCATGTCTACACATGAACATAAAAATCATAGACGTTACCTATTGATGAAAATATGAGATCAGTGGTTCCCTTTATAAGAAAGATTATAGCTGATTAAATGTGATTGTAGCAGCTTGCAATTCAATAAACAACATATTTATGATAACAACATAATACGATGAAAGGTCTAGTCGTAGATTTTAGTTATATTCAATAGAAGAATAACTCACAGATGAAAATCAATCGAGTGCAAAGTTAAAAATAATAATAAATCGGCCTAGTCATTGATAAGATTGTGTACGATAAGTTGCCTATACGAGTTGCCGCACTAACACAATTGTATAACTTTATTTAATAATATTATAAAATACCAGATCAACAGCACATTATATTATAAAACGTAATACGATTATGTTTAAGATGTCGGTATAATAATATTATATTTAAATATCCAGTATTTTAGTAATATAAGTTATAGGCTATAGCTATTATATATGATGATTAAACATTTAAAAACAGCAGACTTAGATATAAATTGTAGTTATATGACTGACTTAATAATTAAGTAGCTTATATATAATTAATTCAGTGTTGGGAATAGATAATTAATGATTTATCTAGATAAAGATAAAGATAATTACACTAAATTTTATCTAAATAAAGATAAATATCAGATAATTTCATTGATTTTGCAAATATTTTGTGATATAAGTACAAATATTAGGTATAAAAAATATATCATTTAAAACATTTTTAAATGTAAATATAAAATAAAGTAGTTTATTCATTAGAACATATGAAAAGTTATTCTCTGATTTAACAATACAAAAAATCTTAAATTTGAAAAAATAAAAAAAGTTAATTTTTGAATAAAATTTATTAGAAGATAACTAGTCAATTTCTGATTTAATAAAACAAAAAACTTTTTTTTTACATTTAAAAAAAAATAATATTTTGAATTTTAATTTTTTTTTTTTTTAGCCCATGAAAATAAATTATTTAGATAAGTACTCATAGATATCTAGAATTTTATCTAGATGAAGATAAATATAAATGAGTTGAGAGTTAGCTACATAAGATAAAAGATAAATCAATTTTATCTAGATATTTCTAACACTGGTAATTATATAGAGAGTTATCTACAAAGAAAGAGAAATACAAAATATTACCAAGACAAATTCTTCCAGATTTAGCATGTACCTACTTAAAATTATAATTATTTATCATTTACAATAGGTATGCCACATAGGACTTTATTAAAAAATTTAATTTTGATTAATTCGCGGACAATAAATGAATATTTTATTCAAAAAATCACAGTTCCACCCACCAATATCTAATATCATTATTTAAATGATTGAAAATATACATAATTGTTATTATATTTTATTTTATTTCAGGGTTATTTTTCAATATTGACTGTAATTATAATTCTTAAAGATTATTTTTATTTTATTTTATTAGTTTAAGCACCAATCAGTTTTTTTACATATAAACAGTATGAAATATACATAATATTAAAGTAATTGTCATACATTAAATAACACAAGTATCATCAGATTCTTACTATTTAATAACTCAACTTCTGTATTTAAAGAGGTCTCCACCGGCTTCAACTCCTATAGGAAGCAGGGCCACATAACTAGACATGACAGTGTCTTTATAATGTAAAAAAAAATATATATAATATCTAGAACTATTAATACATTTAATATGTTTATAATTATAAATTAAAAATTTTATTGTTATTAATTTGTTAATTTAATCGAACTAATAAAGCTAATTCAAACTAGTATATGCTGACTATAAATGATATATATTGCAATGCATATTTATATTTTTATCGCAATAACTTGTAAAAAAAAATTTTAATTTCTTAGCAATAGATTAGTGGGATAAAAACAAAGGCATTAATCCTCCTGCTTGTAAAACATAGGGGGAAAACATATTATTTTGTACTCCTCCCAACCCACAAATAAAATGTAGATAAAACTTTATGAAGAATAAAACCGAATATTTAAGTACAATTTTAATTATTAATAATAATTATCGTATTGATAAAAATAGTTGTAATCAAAATTACAAATAAATGACTTCAAACAAACTATAGAAATCGATTATAATTCAGTACCATTATCACAATTATTATCATCACAAATTTGTTTCAAAATTTAAGCATTTATTAGTTTTATTTTATTTAACTAATTTTTATTATTCAATAAATTTGTTATGTAGGCATTAGGCACTTACCTTTTTTTCTACGATTAATTAAATTAGTTTTTATTTTATATTAGTTGATATAAACAATATTGGAATTAGGCAAATATAACGTAATTTAAATTATTAAAATTATCAAAAAAAAAAAAAAAAATGCATAACAAGTAAACTAGAACATGCTGTTAAATGTATATAAATTACTAATACACTAAATACTATCGTTATGGCACCCTTTCGGCTTTTGAAGTAAGTTTGAGGTAAATAATCTTTCCGCAAATATTTTATGTTTATTGACCTGAATTTGAATTGCCAATAGTGGCTGAATTTTTCTTAAAAGAATAACTACTGTAAATTTTACCATAGTTAATTTAACGTTTACAAGATTTCAAGTTTGTACAACTACCGTCTACCAACATACGCACATATTCTACATTTTTACTGTATGATGTAGGTATTAAGTGAGGTTTTTAACAATGTTAATAATTATTAGTAATGCGACGACAGTAAAACGTTTAAATATCGTTATAGTATCATCAGCTATTAAGGAATATTAAACGTTTTATAATGTTGTCTCGCCGTCTCGAACAGCTGGTAGACAAATATAATTTAACTGGTACATTAAACTATCATTGTAGAAATACGTCCTAAAATACCCATATAACAAAAAATGCGTACAATAATGATACTTTTTCGACTGTGTAAAATCTCGATAGTTTCTTCAAAGTCATTAATTTGTAATTTTCATTATGGGTATTTTTTTTTTTTTTTATCGTCATTGTAATTTGTGAAATGTTCTTGTAAAAATTCGAATTTATTAATTGTACACTTACCTATCATTTTACAATAAAAATAACTCATTTTACAAACATTTTTTGTCTATAGATCAAAAATGTTATTAATTAAAATAAATTAAATTGAAAATATTATTAAATGTCTTAAATGAAAAGAGGAAAAATAAATAACCATTTTGCTGTATAGTTATAGATATCAAGTGAATCTTGTCGTTGAATAAACCAATACAATACATGTATATGTTTTAAATTTGAATTTAATGATAAATCATTTCCATACGACAAACGGTTCTACTCGTAAGACAATCTCACGACTTATTTTACTAAGTAAATTTAAAGTTTAAACTGAAAAATGAAAAATTGTGTTGGCTAGATATATACATTTTTTATAAAAAATAGAACGTTGCATATTTTTTTTTATTAGCTTTCAGTATACAACTATTGTCTATTATCGTAATAGTTGAAATCAGTATCACACTCTCACTAGTCGCTAGTCAAGATTCTTAAAAGTATAGAAACGGAACAAAATTATAAATATAAAGTAATAAAAGGATATCAGCGCACTATTTGTTTTCTCTCTCTGGCCCACGTGTAACATGTACAAAACGCATTTACGCAGGATCATTTTTTTTTTATATATATTTAAAAATTTTATAATTATTTATATTTATTATAAGTATTTTCGAGTAAAATCACTCATAAAAAAAATTATAGAAAATAATATTTTTGAAGTTATGACGTCGATTTATCTAAATATTGTTTCAAACCAATTTTAAACATAATTTAAGTTTATAATTTTTTTTTGAAAGTTGAATATTAAGTCAAATGTTAATAAAATATAAAACCGATATGATACACCCTCAAAAATATTATCTTCTATAATTTTTGTATTAGGTACTTATGAGTTATGCGTTTTTACTCTATGATTATTCTAAAGTCCATAAGTAACGATTTTAGGCGAAAGCGTTGTGAAAACTATATGACGCATGGGTCGATGAGTCTGAGAGAGAAAACAAATATTGTGCAGACATCCACTAACGTAATTTATTTTAATTCTATTTGGTTTTTACAGTCGTAATAGGTTGTGACTTATGATGTTGTTAGAAGTAGACCATAAGTGATAAGCCACACAGATACTATAGACACATTATGTACACAAGTACACAACGACATTTTGATTGGCTCACATAATATATGTACCGTATTAATATTAAATATTATCCCTTAAGTTCTTCATATAATTATCATAAATAGACTAATGCATTGATTATTGGAAATGGTATAGATACCTATTTAATTATATACCTAAACGTTAATGTATTTTTTATATATTAATAGATCCTGTAAATAGTAAATATAATATGTTAAAGTATGGTAGTATGATCTATACTTTTATGATAGTGTATTAATGTGTATAATGTATAAATGTAATACTAGTAATTTAGTATGTAGATACTATATATAATAAATAAAGGTACCAATTTTAAATCGTTGATAATTATTTATAAATAGGTACTTAAAACCTATTCCATTAAAGTATAGATTACAATATGATTGTGGCGTACTGACGTCGTGTGATATTGCCGATATTGGGCATTGGTAATAACTAATATTTAGTTGACATTCGGTTTAGTTTTGTTTTTGTGTGTTACCAGTTTTATTCGATTTAAAATTTAGAATTTTGTTACCATGGATAAGAAAAAGTTCTCCGTTCGAAGAACAACAAAAAGACAAAAAATGGAGTGTGAATTCGATCCACATAATTTAGAAACAATGGAAACAAAATCAATATGTTACCTACCTATGTATTTGATGGCAAGTTTTTCAAAATTATAAATGAAAACCATTATGAAGAAAATAAAATATCAGCACAATGCCAATATTGCTATAAAATTATGCATGTTCATAAAGGATCGACTGGGAATTTTTTAAGTCACATTAAGGTAGATCATTGATTACTTATAATTATTTATATAAAATTAATAAGTTATTATTATTATAATATCCAAATTCTTTAAAATTAAAGTGTCGATTTCAGTATTTGTTTTTGCATCCACATTACACTATATATATATATATACACATATTACAAATTTTCTATTATAGTTTAAACATTCACATTTTATGGAATAAGTTAATGCAGCTTAAACTGATAAGAAAAATTTACAATCTGTAAAAAAAAACAAGAAACTGCCAATCTTGCATTCTAATAAAATATCAAAATAAAAAGTATTATTTGTTTTAATTAGATGATATATACTTAAAAGTTTAATTTTACTTACATAGTGACAATTTTACTACCTACCTATTTCATTATATATGTGACTAATATAGAGTGTAAGTATTTTATAAGTACTAGTTATCTACATAACTTTAATAATATTTATAGATATGATATATGAATATATTCATTCTTATACAACTTAATATGAAATAGGAACTGTTCAAATATGATTTATGTTTAAAAATTTAATGAGCCAATAATTCAACAAATTTATGAGCAAAATCTCAAAACATTTTTAATTATTTCAAAAAATAATTTTTATTTATTAAATAAAAAAGTATAGATTTAGATAGCAGTTTTCATATTTATTTAATACTTACAGTGTAAGAAATTGAAAGATAAATGATTATTGAGATTGTTATTCAAATTGACAATACATTCACTTATTAAGTAGCTAGTGTAGAAAAATATAAGATTGATCAATATTTAACTGGTCAATAAAATATTTTGCTAATCATATATAAGTATTTTGACTTAAGAATAAATTAAATTAATAATTATGATAAATTAATGTCTACCTTCAATTTTTATAAAATTATATTTTTAATCGTCAGAAATATACAAAACAATTAAATTTATACATTGCAATTTTTTTTTTTTTTACATGTATTTTATTACTTGTTAATTTGTTAGTGTATATTTATTAAATATTTTAGTTTATTGACTTCACTTTTGCGTACATAGAGAAGAATGAGGCCATTGGTGAAGTGAAAAATCAACAATCAAACATCTTGTAAAAGATTTATGTGGCCTTGATAATACAACTTCATTACTTGATTGTAGAGTATGTCTAAAGAATTAAATAACATGTACATCATATATTACTATTATAATTGTTTTGATAACTAAGTAAAATTGTATTAGTACTACAACTGATATTTGGTCTTGCAATAACGAGAATTATTTAGGCATGACTTGTCACTGAATACCTATGTTAGATAATCATATGTTCTTAATTGTAGAAGAATTAAAGGTACTTATGTATATTTTAATATAACTGAAATATTGAATGAAATAACTCATACATAAAGTATCCAGAATTCTAAAATATCTCTTATGATAGCTAGTAATGCTAACAATTTTAACAAAGCATTCAAAATATATTCTTTAAAATCCATTGGTTAGAAGTCTTTAAATATTAATAGTGATAACTGGTTTGATGGTGAATCTGTATGTGAGGATCATAATACTGAGATAAAAGTTAATTTTTCTAGTGCATATTTTGATACTGTAAATTTCTCCACATTGTTTTTATGAAGACATGGAAAGTGATGATATATGCTTACCAGATCATATTACATGCTCTGCACATACAAATGCATAAGCCTAATCACAACTGTTGATGTGTAATAAATTTTTGAAAAATCGTGTTTAACAAATTTTAAAAATTATTTTAATAAATTATGTAATTTTTGGAATCTTTTAAGTCGAAGTATGGTTGCTTCAGACAAGGTATGTGAAATATGCAGTTCCAAATTTCCTGTACTTATTGTTAAATGATAGAATTCATCATTTTACGCTGTAAAAAGATAATTATACATAAAGCAACTGTAATATCTTCATTTAATGATTTAAAACTTCAACAACTAAGAAAAAAAAAAAATTGGTTATCCTTAGAAGAATTCTATTTCGTTATCAAACCATTTCCTATTCCACTTAATCAGTTACAAGCAAAACATCTTGTTTTCTGGGATATATTGCATCTACCATTATATCATTAAGACAAACCATTTTGATTAGCATTATTAATTATTAAAAGTCTTCAAAATAGATTTAATTTTATAGTTAATTTGGTAAATATCAAAAGCAAGCGATATATTATTGCTTCAATATCATATCCAAAGTTTAAGCTTTCACAGATATCTGCTAGGTATTTAACTGTGCTTAAAATATTTTTTTATCTGAATGTAATTTTATAAATTCAAATCCTAATGAAAATGATTCTAAATGATAGTGATAAAAATTTTATGGTATTTTAAAACAGAGTAAATATTCATTAGATCATTTGGCTGCTGAAAGTGTTCAATTAAATAATGATAATAGTAATGGTTCAACTATTTAAGCACCATTTTATTTGGATACGAAAAACAAAAACCTAGATATTTTAAAGACATTTCCAATTGTAAAAAAGTTTTTTTTTCAAAATATATTATATCACCTGCTTTAAATTAAATCTAAAATATAATAGCTATTGCCATAAATTATAATACTACTCCATATTCAAACAAATAATAAATTGCATGCTTTAGAATTATACATATTATATATTATTTTTAATTTTTTTTTTTTTTTTTTTTTATTAATAATTTACAATACAAATTGACCTAATATTTTTTTTAAATACATAATTTAAAAATATTGATCAGGGAAGTTATCTCCTACTCCAATCTGAGCTTAACTTGTTTTTTCATGTGTAGAATACCTCAGCCTAAAGCTTAATTTTGATAGATTTCATGTCATAACTTTTCAAGCAACATAATCCAATCTCTTATTCTTACTCCATTAATGATATTTTTCTCCAGTGAGTTTTTTTTGTGTAAGGATCTTGGTATATATTACATCGTTTTTAAACTTCGGTCATCGTATTAATATTATTGAAAGTAAACCTCTCAAAGTGCTAGGTTATACAGGGCGTTTCTGAAATGAATAAGGTCACTAGTGTACGCGTATTTCACTGTGATGACCCAATAAAGATTTTTTTGAATTTTTTTTTTTATCTTCAAAATCTAGGTTTTTTCATATTATTTTTATAATATTATCTTAAATGTAAAAATAAATACTCTAGTTGTGTTTTTTGCAAATTTCTTATACGAATCAAGATGACTCATTGTCTTTGAACAAGGAACTTTACAAACCAATAATTTATTATATAAGTGTAAATACGTATAGGTATACTTCAGTCATAAATTTAATAGTAAATTTTTATTTTTATTAAAAAAACTTATAAAGAATCTTATAAAACATTTTCGAACCCTAGATGGTTAAAAAAAAACTCAACTACCCAACTGAATTATTAAACAATTTGCAAAAACCGAAGAATTTAAAAATTCAATTATAAAATCTAAATCAAAACTAAAAAATTTTAAATTGTACTAAAAACCGAAACTATTAAAATTTTAAACAATTTCGATCCCTGTGTAAAGCCAACACGTTCATCGTTTAGAGTCCGAGCTGAGCAGTTTTATTAAATATATTTTATTAAATATTAACATTGAAAAATGAGATACAATTTATGCAAAAACAAATGTTCATTATTGAAATACTTTTGGTGAAACAAAGCAACAACCAGATAAGTCTGTTAAGTGATAATCTTCTGTTTCGTACTCGTAGGCTGTAATACCTCCAGCTTATAACACTTTATTAAATAAATAAAAAAATATACATCATTTTTTCACGATTTTGTGAACCTCAATATTTTCAAGTGTAAAAATTTTCAGTACTATATTTTAAATTAAAATGTTTACCGCGCTTTTTAAATCGGCAACCGATAAAACGCGTAGGCTGAACGGTCATGCCAATTGTAATTCGGTCATGACCGTTTTTATCGGTCACTAACAATACGCATAGTATTATCCAGGACTAAAGGCCAAATTTCCAGGTAGGTAGGTACATAGTACAATAGGAAACGTGAGCAATGTTTACCGACTACCTAAAAATCTCCACACAGCGCGCTGTAGTCACCCACACATGTTAGTGGTGAATTATACAAACCAGTATTAGAGAAGCTCCATCAATTGTATTCAGAATTTGTATTCAATTGATTCACGCTGGTTGTCCGGTGATTCTCATTTGAAGTGTTTGTGATCTACAGTCATAATTTCCATCAATTACCATAATATATTTTCATTACTGTAAAAATTGAACTGTAATTTTGCAATAATTTCTTCAGTGTCATTACGAGTTTATGTGCCCTTGTGATACGTTTCATAAACCGATTGTTAACTAACCATGGAAAACAATAAAGAAAAATTACCAGCTGCTCAAGAATTTTCGAATGAGTTTATAAAATTCATGACTTCGGCAAAAAACAGCTATTCGCCTGAGCCGCTGCCGTCGCCTTCACTGGAGTTGAAAGTTACTCATAATTTGAAATTGGAAAAAGAAAAATATTTGGAACAATTTGAAAAACTCAATGGATTTGAATTCAGCAATGACGTGAATAAATACCAACCATTGGTGCAGATTGGTAAAGGAAGCTACGGGTAAGTATAATTAAATTTGTTTTTTAACGCAATCATTACTATTTTTAAGATTGTTTTGTTATGCGTTATAACAATATAAATAATTATATTTATTATTAAAAAAATTATGAAATTTTTAATTAAAAAAAAAAAATAAAAATAAAAATAAAAAAAATAAAAAAATATTCTTCATTTCTATATAATTTTGTATAAGTACATTTTATAACTAGTGTAGTTAACAGTTTCAAAAGTATAAGACCTGCATAAAAATTTTTTAGTAACAACTTATAGAAAAAAAAAGAAAAAATGATAATTTAAATACTTTAATTTTAATATTTTTATAATAAATATTAATTTTTTTTTTCATTTATTAATTATTACAAATAATAAATAAAAATTTGAGAGTAACGTGTTAAATTTTCAAATTTTTACTCATAAACAACAATATTATAATATTTACATTAAAGAAAATCTTTAAAAGTTAATCATTTTAAATTATTTTAAAATGGTCAACAATTTTTTTAATTTTATCTTTTATGGAAAGTATAAATATAAATATTTTAAGAAAATTAAAAATTTTAATACTTACACATTTTTTGTTAGCAACACAAAAAACAAAATTGATTTTATAAATCTTATTTTTTTTTGCAAATACTACCATTTATAATTTTTAGTTTTTTACTTCCCTTATTTTAATCAAACTCTGCTTTTGTCTTCTCGAAGTACCATCTATTAACATTTGGCTACTAATAAACTATAGATAGCTAATCAAAATGTTGTTACTTAATATTATTCGACAATATTTGTACATGCTGCAGTAGCACAATTTACATCATTATATTAGAGCTTGCATTTGAAAAAAAAATTGTTATACGTTATTTACAATCAAAACGTTATACAAATTTTGAGTTTATCGTTATTCAGAATTAAAATTTTTAATATATTTTAAAATTTATAACTATTAATTAATTATTATTTTTAATAATATACTATATACTCATTACTTTTTGCGTTATGTTTTGTTTGATGATATATTTTATATTTTGTGTTATTTAATTATTTATGTATATCGTTTTCTGTTATAATTACCTTTGCAAATTTTAGTCGTTTTTTTGTCAAATTTAACGTTATTACAGTGAAAGCAGTAATGCGGACTCTGAATAAAACGGAAAACTATCCAATACGGAATTTTTCTATGGTCTCGGCATGTTCCTATAGTTTTATAGGGCGGCACCTTTTTCGGCCAGTTCACTTTTCAGCCATTCTAAAATGTCCGTTTTCGGCCAGTACACTATTTTGGTTACCAATGAAATATTTTTCACATTTTTTTCTGTTAAACTGCCAATTTATTAATAACAGACACTTATATTAATGAAGATAGCATATTTCTTCCTACTATTTGGACGTCTAGCTGTTCTGACTTAACTAGAACCACAAATGCATGCGAATCTTATCATCCTTATTTTAATCAATGTTTTTACAAAGACCCCTTCCAATTATGTATTAGTTGATTATAATTTATGAAATTCAAACGGAGTCATATGTAAAAATACAAAATGTGAATATTCCAAAATTCCCAAAAGATGAAAAAGTTCGGAGTCGTCAGGATAAAAACCATAGGTACCAAGATGATAAAATAGTGTAGGTACCTACTGGTCGAAAACGGACATTTCAAAATGGCTGAAAAGTGATCTGTCCGAAAAAGGAAAGGTTCCGCCCGTTTTATATAGACGTTAAACCTCAATAAAACGGAATCTTTCTAATGCGGAAACGGAACGGTTTTGTAGGTCCAATGCAAGTAAAAACATTGTATAATCCGGAAATATGACACGCGTTATGTTACGTTGATATAAATATGTAGGTACATTGTAAAACAATAATAATTAAGATAAAACTGCACTACATTATATTAGTTAGGTAATTTGTATTTTTTGGTTATCGTATCTGCGATACAAACTTATCCCGTATGTTTATGTATAGGTACAGTTATGCACCAACAGTCTTACATTGAATAATTTGCTTGTACACACTAAGTGATGTCTATTCAAATACATATAATAATTAATATTGGAAAAATAGCAACAACAGTGACAAAACAAAAATTCTACATGATTTTTGGAAAATCTAATGTTCTAATTTAATTCCCAACCTTTATACTTATGTAATATGTCTCTAACTCAAAAAATAAAAATTATAAATGTTGTAAACTAATTTTTTCATGTAAAAAACTGATACGAATTTATGATCAGGAATTTTTCCGTTTTATTCAATAAAGCGAAAAACTGCTTAAAGTGGATTTTTTAATTGGTCTCATGTTTTTCCGCATTAGAGAGTTCTCACTGTATAACGTTTGCAATCTCTACATTATATTGTTCAATATCAATATCAGCTCAATAAATTGATACTATTTGTTGTTGTTAAAAAAATTAATTTATTACGAATAAATTAAATTTACTGCCTTAAAAATATAATATTATATATTATTTTTAGTGATGTGTTCAAAGCTCAAGATACAAAAAATCCCGATGTTATAGTGGCTATAAAAAAAATTAATACAATACATAAAACAGAAGGAGTAAGTTAATGTCTATTAATATTTCATGAAATGTAATTTAAGTAATTTTAATAATAGAAAATATTTTTGGTATCAATAATTTGTTTGTTAAGTATACAATAACAAAAAATATTTTATCAAAATTCAACACTGAATAACAGTGAAAAGTAGGTTTGAAAAATATCCTTTTAATCAGGAATTCAATTACTTTTATTTTTAATTTCTTATTATTGATTCAATAAACATACAAATAACTTCAATTCAAATAACTCTTCCAATTAGTTTTATAATTTGACTGTTATAACTTATAATTATGATATTTTATAATTTATTTTGGTATATAAAATTTAAATAATTTAATATATGTAATAAAATATGTATATTAGGTCATAAATTGTTCATTTTGTGAAATTATAAATAATGGACAAGGTTATTTTCCATCATATAATCTTATCATTTAACCATACATATAGTAAAAATATAATATGTAAATATGTATATGAAATACATTTTATTATTTGTTTTGGGGTATTTTTTGCTATATAACTCTATTAGAATAATATCAATAAATTATTATAGTAAGGTAAAATGTACATATATTATTGCTATTTAATTATTTATATTATAATGTTATAACTAAAGTTATTATTAAGTACTTATAATTTCAGTATTTTATTATAAACTGTGTTTATAACTGAATATGTATTTATTGAAACATGTATTTTTCTTTATTTATTTATACATACATAAAAAAATGGTATACATAGTGGTATTATTTATTAATTAACAAATTTAGTGAAACATGGTAAAAATTAATGCATTTTACTTTTTGTTGAAGTCGTGCTCAAGTGTTTACCTTCCTTTACAAAAACAATTAAAAATCTTTTTTAGTGTTAATAATCCAACTAGTTATAATTAATTTTTTTATGATAATTAAAAAAAAAATCATGTTTAAATAAATATATATCTAGTGATAACTAATGTTAGGTTATAAATACTAAAAATTAATACTGCTTGCATAAAATAATTAAATAAGTAAAAATTCTTAGCATTAAATATATTTTCATTTTACAAATCAGTCATAGGAAAATTTTTATATTCATTTTATGGAATGAAAAATTTCACTATATGGACATAATTATTACATATTTTCATCAATCTATAAATAATTAGAATAAATGGTGTTTTATTGATAACAAATTAAATGATATTTATATCAACATTTTAATATATTTGTTTTGCAAATTTGAAACCATACAAATTTTATCATATTTTATGAAAATTTATTCTTAAATAAGCACGTTAATTTATTTAGATCCTAAATAAATAAAAACATACATTTTTAATCGATACCTAGATTATTTTAGTGGTGTTTTATAATAATATTCCGTAATAGTCAATATGATTGTTGATATTATATTTTCAAATTTCAGTTTCCGATGACATCTTTAAGAGAAGTTCGTATACTTAAACAATTAAGTCATGAAAATGTGATCAAATTGATAGAAGTTTGTCATACTAAAGGTAAATTTGAGAGTAATTTATTTTTACATACATTTATAAAATAAATGTAATATTAATGTTTTATAGCCTGTAATGAAAATAAATATCGATCAACATTTTTTTTGATATTTGAATTTTGTGAACATGATCTGGCTGGTTTAATAGCTAATACAGAATTCAAAATTGATATAGCTGATATTAAACAATTCATGAAACAATTGTTCAATGGTCTATTTTACTTACATTTAAATAAGGTAAATAGATTTACCACTTAATGAGAATTATATAAATTTATGTAATAAATACTAAACTAATGAAATGTACCTAAATAGATTTTACATCGAGATTTAAAATCATCAAATATATTGGTTACAAAAAAAGGAATTTTAAAATTGGCAGATTTTGGTCTATCTCGCGCATTTAGCACGCCGTTAGAAAATAAACCAAATAAGTAATTACAAAATCTTTCAAATATTTACTATTTATTTAATCTATTATTATTAATTGTACGCAGTTATACTAATGGTGTAGTTACACTATGGTATCGTCCTCCTGAGTTACTGCTTGGTGAACGTAATTACGGAACAGCTATAGATATGTGGGGAGCTGGGTGCATTATGGCAGAATTCTGGACTCGTTTTCCAATTCTACAAGGTTCTTCGGATATGCAACAGTTAATTTTGATATCCTCTTTATGTGGATCAATAACACCAGAAGTATGGCCTAAAGTTGTAAAATACGAAGTGTACAACAGCATTAAACTACCAAAACAAAATAAACGAAAGGTAAGTATTTAAAATTTTTCAAACTTTGTTTTTTAGATTTTAGATAAACGTTTTTTACAGATAGAGACGTATTTTATGCACTATCTTCCTAACAAATTGGGATGTGATCTTATTGACCATTTATTAACACTAGACCCGGATAAAAGGTTTGACGCTAACACAGCTTTGAACCATGACTTTTTTTGGAAAGATCCCATGCCAAGCGATTTATCTAAAGCTATGTCGCAAATTAAAAACCATTGCCATGAATTTAGTATGCTTAGACGGCAAACTAATAATAATAATCAACAAATCGCCAAACTGGAAAAACCAAACGCTATTAACAATGGTGCATCTACCTCTAGCTTTCCTGATCGCATTTTTTAAAAAGTATTATTTACCTATAGCTGTTGAATCCAATAGATAATGAATTTATCGTATATTTTTGTAAATAAAAATAATTTTTTTATTAATTAAACAATCCATTAAAAATGTACATATTATGAATGACCAAAAGACTGATATTTGTAGAATTTATAATTTTTTATCTGAAAATTGTCTACAAAATATTTAGTGGCCATATAAAATTTTTATTGATATGTATATTATATATTAACTAATTAAATCATTAATTACTGTTTAGTTAGTTAATATACAATACTGTTTACATTTATTATCGTTTTTTTTTTTTTTTTTTTTGTTTAATTGAATTAGAACTAAGTTTTGAATATGTACTTATGTTTGAATTTAAAATATTGTAAGACTATGTCAGATATAGTAACTTAAAATAACATATGTATAATATTTTTCTATATAAATGTGATACAAAATATGTAATAATTATTAATTTTTAAATTTACTTTTATGCAATCTGTATCAATAATAAAAATCTCTGATATTTTTTATGTTCATTGTAATATCTATTAACGCCATACTACGGTGAGAGATTCTCATTAAAAAAAAACCTAATCTACTAATAAATTATTATGCTAGAATTAACAAATCATATTGAAATTCTTATCATAATTTAAAAATATATCGTGGTTTTCTTCATTATTTTATACCACATAGTCTTTAAATATAGTTATTATGATTGATTTGTTGTCATGTCTAGGTATACGAAGAGAACCATTAAAATGAAACTGCTAGCTGATCGTTTTAATCTTAAAGATGATTACACATAGGGTGAATAATTTTCCTGTGGATTTTAAACGAGTTTAAACTATGTTGATTTTTTCACTTGTAACGCAACTCTTACACAATATAAACACTATACGTGGTTAAAACCTCGGTTTAAATAATTTTTTCACCTAACCGTTTATGTTCACTAGTTATGACGTAAATTGAACATAAATAAAAATAATAATTTCTATTTAAATGTGTGTATATTGTTGCGTGCCAATATCAGATCCAGACTCAGGGTGTTATTTAAATGAAATTTACAACTCTTAAGAACAATAATGTGTTTATTACGTATAAATAAAGTTCATGTAACTGATACAAAAAGTGGCTGAGTGTTGTGAAGTTGCTCAGGTCTTCGTGACTCTGGTACATCTGTCGTTGCTGGTCTCTGGGCTCCCTTATATATGAAAAAGCTTCTTGTTATTGTAGTCCATAGCTTTGATTTCCATTTATATCCTTGGAGTTGTTTTGATACTTGTTTTTGGAAAAACAATATCCAGGATGCAATCTGCTCCTAATTGCCAACACGTGCCAATGCAATGTGTTGTTGCATATGAGTAACCTTAATAATGCATTTCCTCGGCACGCGTAATGCACTATTGCGATGTTTGTTATGATCTTGTTGAGAAGTAGATAATTACACCCGAAAATGCATTATGATCCTAATGCAACGAGATTCATAATAATATGTATCTACTATCTTGTGTTATGATCTGTAAGAATATGTTTACTCCCCAACACGTGTCATGGTCATGCTAATACTTATATTAGCAATATTATATATTATATTATAGTATATCCTTATATTTAACAATGTATCTCGTAGCCCATAACAATATTATATATTTAACACAAATTAGAAATAATAGTTCATATTATTTTATTTACAGCTTATGGCGACATCTTACGCGTAAGTCCAGTGACAACTAGAATGACAATCTTATGGAATCATTCATTGTGTTGTAGTCTATAGGTATAAAAAATTAACTAAACCAATTTGCATTGTAATGTTATGTACATGGACATATTTAAAGAGAGTCTGTGTCCGCCTCTCCATCGTATATTATATTTTTTTTTTATTACTGAAAATATTAGCTTTTTGGGTAACTGGCGGTTTATGACCCTTTTTATCTGATAATCTTTTTTTGCTTTCTATACATCAGGATCCCTTAATTTTTTTTTTTTTTTTGGGTAATATATTTGGTAAAATTTTAGACAATATATGCCCCCCTCCTAAAAAACAATTTTGGATACGCCACCGAGTATATAAGCATTATAAATGTGTTTGACACAATAAGTTCAGAATTCATATGTCAAATCGCCTGCTCTGTGTATACATTTTTCCGATGCACATTTATTATACTTTAGGCGTTCGTGACGAGGTGCCTACAATTTATGGATTACGAATATCTGCAATATTATTAGAATATATATATGATACACGCGTGATATATTAAATTTGAATAGAAATAATAAATAAAAAACATAACAAAAATAGAAATGTGTTAATTGCTGGGCCTAAATTCTTCTATTTTTCATAATACATACTATATTTTAATTAAACGTTTATAGCATGCTCTGTTCACTGTTGATTTGTACATTTGTAATATTTATTTAAACATAAAATGAACAGTAATAAAAATGAACAGTAATACCTACTACCTTACCACTTGTATTATTTTAGTAGCATTGCGTTGAATGGTATAAAACTTATCTTCATGACTTGAATTTAAATACATAATATACGATCTTTTTAAATTTACATACCTACATATGGTTAGGAAACATTTCAATTAAATATGAATAATGGTAAGTATAATCAGTAACACAGAAACAGATACAACAGATCATTAACAAGTTATAGGTTAGAGTTCGAAGGTTTTTTTCTAAAGAGATTATTATGTGTTACACTTACAAGCTACAACTGTTAGCGAAACTATACAGTTTCCTTCGTAGAGCTCTTGAATGTTATCTGAATTTAAACTATCATGTGCTTTTTGTTCACGTGTATTTGAATTTGAAAATCTGTAAAATTATTTCACGTGTAATAAATTGGTTAATCACGGATATTTATTTCACTTGTATTTAAAATATAATATTTACTAAACGTATTACATAATAATATAATATTAACTATTAAAAATAAATATATTTGCTGTAAAATATTAAAAAACAAAAAATATTTGTACCTTAGTCTACTATTCTAAAAAAAATGTTTCATAAACAGTATTATCCTTAAAAGATAGGACGATTGAAGCTAATGCTTCGGGTTCAAAATTAATAACTGATTACTGATCACTGGGGTGTAGAAATTAGAAACCATTAAAATATACTAAACGCATTGAAAATAAAATTCATGTGAAACAGCAATAAAAAAAGATGCACGTGAAATAGATACTTTCCGGACGTTCATCGAATTATCTTTAATGGCAGTTATGAGAGAAAGAATATGAAAACAGTATATTTTTACAAATTTAAAAATGTGTGTGTATGTGTGTGTGTGTGTACTAAATGAGACAGACAGACTCATAGATGAAACAAAAGGTCAAGCTAGTCAGGCTATGACCTGACCTAATGCTAACTGGTTATCGCCCTCAGAAATGAACTAATATAGTAATATAGTTCATAATATTATATTATATAAAAAAAATTATATAGAAAAAAAACTAAACTACTGTTGTCTGTTACAGATATGATAGTAACTATTTTTTGTTTACATCATTAGTTTCTTCTACCTGCTGTAGTGAATGGCGTATTTCCTGCATTCCTTTAACCCTGCGTACGCTACTGAATGTAGTTATTAATCAATTATAGTAAATAAGAATAGTTTTCTTAAAATATTTTGTTAAAATCAACAAATGAAAATTACTGTTATAGGTATTTTTATTAATATTTAATTTTTTTATATACATTTATTTCAGTATAATGTACTATTTTCAATTGTGAGGAGATTTGTACAATATGTTTTCATCAAAATTTTTCATGAATTTATTTCATGTACCTTTTTATAAAAACAACTACAGTTCCGCATCTTTTTTCCCTAGAGCTCTCTCATTATGTAATCTTATAGTCGACCACATAGATTTCTTCTTTATGACTCGTGATTTTTTTAAACAAAATGTATACTTAAGTTTAAATCAAATACTAAATTAAATACATACTTGTTTCATTATTTAGATAAATATTTATTAAGTTTAAATGTATTTTTAACTGTTAGCCAATTTGTAAAATATTAAATGTTATTTAATTAATTCATGTCATATATTATTTAATGATTAATTACTATTATCACTATATTATTTTATTATTGTATTCATATTATATTATTATTATTATTATTATTATTATTATTATTATTATTATTATCTTAATTATTGTTAACTATTCTATTTGTCACATTGATACGTTATACTTACTGTACAATTAATACCAAAGGGTACCTATCCGTATATAATGTATAAATAAATAAATAAATAAATATACGCATATTTATAAGTAATATAATCATGTATAGGAATAGCGATAGTGGTCGATGTGGATAAGCCATTTATATTTGTTGCGATTACACGATATTCACTTCGCAAATAAGCTGTGTAGCATTAAATAATTATTGGTATAATTCCTTAGAATTCGATGTTAACAGAAATAGGTATATTGTGGCAATATGATTATAATAAAAAAAATAATAATATCAATAAATAAATATTTAAAATATAAACACAAAAATCAAAACCCAAAGTATTAATTGTATAAGTAAGTTTTATTATAACATTGACATTTTTTTATCGTTATATATTTATTGAAACGATTTTATCAATCTTCATTCATGACTTATCACTTGGGAAGGGCAGAGTGTGTCTAACTACTACTACCCCGTTGTCTTAGAAAATAGTTTTTCACGTGCATGGTCGTGTGAACGGCACTCCTAGTGGAGTAGGTTGGACTGGCGGTAACAGCGGGTAGAATACCAAGTAGTAATTTATTGCACTGTATACAGAGATTGAACCAATGACTGCACGAATTATGGCCAGCTGTGACACCATGTACCACACTACCCCACAATTTAAAAATATATCAATTTTAATAGCTTATATTTTTTTGACAAGGGAAGGGATACTTTAAAAAAAATGTTGGCCTACTCTTACACAAATTTCTAGTTTTGCCTATGGGCCACAGACTAACGAACAAACTGAAAATAAAAGACGAACAAGACAATCAGAACAGAATAGAATATTTTTGCTTTTAGAACGTTTTTAAAATTGGATAAATTTTATGGGCCATAAACTACTAG